ACAAGACCATGGAAGAAAAAATAAGGACAACGATAGGGACCGTAATGCACGGTATAAATGCAACACAAACCATAACTAACAATGCACAAACACCAGAAGATAAACTAGGTAACTGGGAGCTCCTAAAAATTAAACACTTGTGTTCATCAAAAAAAACTTTACCAAAAGAGTAAACAGAAAACCTACAGAGCTGGGAAAAAATTTTTGACTATGACATATCTGACAAGGGGCTAATCTCTAAAATCTACAAAATATTTCAACACCTCAACAACAAAAAGACAAACAATCCAATTAAAAAATGGGCAAAGGATAGGAAGACACTTCACCAGAGAAGACATTCAAGCAGCTAATAGACACATGAGGAAATGCTCACGATCATTAGCCATTAGAGAAATGCAAATCAAAGCTATAATTTCATACCATCTCACCCAGACAATACTGGTAGTAATTAAAAAAAAAAAACCAAAAAAACAGAAAATAACAAATGTTTAAGAAGTTGTGGGGAGAGTAGAACTCTTATGCACTGCTGGTTGGAATGTAAAATGGTGCAACCACTATGGATAACAATATGGTACCTTCTTAAAAAAGCTAGAAATAGAAGTCTCCTAGGACCCAGCAATCCCACTCCTAGGAATATATCCTACAGAAATAAGAGCCATCACACAAACAGACATATGCACACCCATGTTCATTGCAGCATTATTGACAATAGCAAAAAAGATGGAAACAACCTAGATGCTCAACAACAGATGAATGGATAAACAAATTATGGTACATACACACAATGGAATACTACACAACGATAGAGAACAATGGATTTTTGAAACATCGCACAGCATAGATGAATCTGGAAGGCATTATGCTAAGTGAAATAAATCAATCACAAAAGGTCAAATATTGTATACACCACAACTCAAGAAAAGGTTTACACACAAGGAAAAAAAAAATTCTTTGATGGTTACGAGTGGGGAGGGATGGAGAGGAGAAATCACTAACTAGATAGTGGACAAATGTCAACTTTGCTGAAGGGAAAGACAACACACAGTATAGGGGAAGTCAGCACAACCTGATGGAGGCAAATTCATAGAAGTTTCCTAGACACATCTAAACAACCTTGAGGTATCAAGTTGCTGGGGCTGAGAACTGGGGACCATAGTCTCAGGGACAATTAGGTCAGCTGGCATAACATAGTTCATAAAGAAAATGTTCTACATCCCACTTTGGTGAATAGTGTCTGGGGTCTGGGAACAGCCATCCCTTCCAGAGTAAAGGAGAATGAAGGAAATCAAAGACACAAGGAAAATAGCAGCCCAAAGGACTGATGGACCACATGAACCACGGCCTCCACCAGCCTGAGCCCAGAAGAACTAGATGGTACCCAGCTACCACCAGTGACTGCTGTAACAGGGATCACAGTAGAGTCCCGGTCAAAGTGGGAGAAAAATGTAGGACAAAATTCAAACTCACAAAAAAAGACCAGACTTACTGGTCTGATGATGACTGGAGGAACCCCTAAGACTACGGCCCCCAAACACCCTGCTAACTCAGGAAGGAAGCCACTCCCAAAGTCCACCTTTTGGCCAATGATTAGACAGGCCATTAAAACAAACAATAACGTAAGCGAGGAACGTGCTTCTTAGTTCCATCAAATATAGTTGACCAAATGGGCAACTCCTGCCCAAAAGCAAGAGAAGGCAGGAAGGGACAGGAAAACTGGATGAATGGACACGGGGAACCCGGGGTGGAAAGGGAAAGGGAGAAAGTGCTGACACATCGTGGGGACTGCAACCACTGTCACAAAACAATGTGTGTATAAATTTGTGAATGAATAACTTGAGCTGTAAACTTTCACCTAAAGCACAATAAAATTAAGAAAAAAAAAAAGAATATCTGCCTGGAGCACTGGGCTCTTTTAAGAACTACAGATACGGGATCAAACTGACAACAGTAATTCAAAAGATTAGATAGGAACCTTAGGGAGCAGTGAGTTTATGTTAACAGGGGTAGAACAACTCAGAAAAGGAGGGTGAGAATGGTTGCACATCTTGAAGAATGTCATCAATGTCAATGAATTACACATGTACAAACTGTTGAACTGCTGTATATTTTCAACAACAAAATAAATTTTTTAAAAATCCACGTCCATTCTGAGAAAACATAACATCTCCTAAAAAGGAAAGCTCCATTTTTATTTTCATAAGAAAAGTATGATTTAATGTCACTGAACTTTTTTAGTTCCCCCCGGGAAGAAATTAGAAAAACGAGAGATAAGATAACAGTATTTTCGTGATGATCTTCAAAGCCTTTATTGGCTGACGGGGAGGGAGAGAGTATAAGATGCTGTATTCAAGAATCCTAAATTCAGAAATCTGTGGTCCATTGGAATTCCCTGCCAGGACGGCTTTATGGTATAAGATATCAATGGATATTGTTATTAGGTATTTAGGAGCAGTTATTTTAGTCCCCACTGAAAGACTCCAGCTTTCCATCAGAACACTAAGGAAGGATAACGAATGCTGTATTAGTTTATCATGAATTAATCATGAGTCTTTTCAGCCGCATACTTTTAATTAGCCACGGAGTCTGTCAATTTTTTTTTTCTTTCTGGAGCTCTTCTCGCTGGATCTAAAGAATACCAATCTCCCCTCTGGACGAAAACAACATAAAAAGTACTCCAAGCATTCCCTTGCACAGTATACAGTTGTTTTCCAGAGGAATAAAAATAAAACTTGACTTAGCAGGTGCTTAAGGCTTTGAAAGGTAGGTCAGAAATCAAAGCTGGCTCTCGCATGATCAACGCCTTCAGAAAATAAATCATTCCTTCAAACTCCCGGAAAGTTTGCTGCTGAAACAGAGGGAAGGAGTGCACCATCCTTTCAGAGAACAAATTACAGAAATCACACTAAGAAATGAATCTGTTAAGCCACTGGCCATTAAGAACGAATATTAGCCGGCCCCTAAGCCTCTGGGGTGTTCTTTTCAGCAGGACAATCCCATGCTGTGGGATTTCAGTGTAATAGAAAAGACAGATCCTAAAGGGTCACTGTCTTTTTGTTCTCTGTAATTTTCATTCTAACTTGGATGCCTGAAAATAAAGGACCACTGAGTAGTCTACGAAGAAAGGGAAGATTAAGTTTGAGAGTCCTGTTCCACAGAGTAGGGTTTCTCATCCCGTACTGATATCTGGGGCTGGGTGGTTCTTTGTCACGGGATGCTGTCCTGTGCATTGGGGGAGGTATCAGCATCCCTGGCCTCCACCCACTGGATGCCAGTAGCACACACTTTAGTCGTGATAACACGATTGTCTCCAGACACGGCCAAGTGTCCCCTAGGAGGCATGATTGCCATCCGTTGGAGAAGAACGCCATTGGGTAACCCATTTGCCAGAAACTGCATCTGGAAGATCATTAAATCTCCCTGCAACCCCCTCTTGGTTGCTGCGTGCAACCAGATCTTCACATTTTACCCAAGACAAAGGTCACCTCTTACTCTTCACAACCACCCAAGACCATGAGCACTTCCCAGAGGAGGAAACCATGGCCCAGAGGAGGTAACCAGCTCCCGGAGAACACAAGGCCAGTTGGGGAGCCCAGCACTCTGCGCCCATCGCATGCGTCCATCTCGGGGAGCGTCTCGCTTCCAATTTCAGGCCAATATCTCCTCTGAAGGGCTCTCCTGCCCATTTCTCAGGCCCTGCTTCTCCAGGAGGCAATGACGAGGCCCTGGGGATTCTAACCTGGACTTGGCAATGACATGGTGGCATAAGGATGCAGACTCTGTCCCAGAGAAGGGGGGTGATGGGGATTCTCACCGGAAGGGCTTCTTCTATCCATGCTGCCCTCATCCCTCCTCCAATCACTCCAGCACACACACACACTCTCTCACACACACACTCTCACACACTCTCACGCACACGTTTTCTCATATACAGACATACTCTCCAATGCATTAACACACACACTCTCTTTCACACACACACACTCTCACATGCCCACACACACACACAGTCACTCATACACATACACTCTCACACACACACACACACACTCTCTCTTGCTCTTACACACACACGCACTCTCACACTATCTTTGTCTCCCTCACACATACACACAAAATACACACACATTCTTTTACACACACACAATGTCTCACATACACACACTCTGTCTCTCATACACACACACTCTCTCTTGCACACACACAATGTCTCACATACACACATACACTCTCTCTCTCTCTCACACACACAGATACACACACACATACATTATCTCTGTCTGTCTCACATACACAAACTCCATGTCTCTTTCATACATACACATACATACAGTCACACACACACACTCTCATACACTTTCTCACACACTCTCACATGGACACAGTCTCTCACACTTTCTCTACACAGATACACACACAAGTACACATACTCTGTCATACAGAGAAAACTATCACGCACACACTCACACACAGTCTCTCTCACACCTTCTCTCGCACACTCTCATACACACGCCCACAGGCACACGCACCCCTCCCACCAGAAGGAGGCGCTCTTGGTACAGGAACCGAGCCTGACGCAGTGGCAAACAACAGGTGTACCGTGTGCCTTGACTGCGTGCCATAGGCACGTGACTTTGCTGAATAAACCAGAGTCACCAGTTCAGCGTACACTTCAAATCCATTATAAAACCCCCATCCGATCTTCTCAAGATCTCCCACATTCCATGCCACATGCGCGTGGCCCAACACAGCTTTTCTCTGGGAAAGCGTGGCTGCCTCATTAGCGCCTCCAGTGGCAAACGGGGCTTTCGATGGAGAGGTCTTCCCAAACTAAAGGGAGAACTAGCTGAGCCCCCTCATTCACATCATACCTTCCATTCCAGAATGTTCCAAACACTGTTTGAAAGGTCACCACATACTGATATCTAACTTAGGCAATATGGCCTGGGTCAGACAGACATTCTGGGAATGGTGCTGAAGGCACAAGCATGTCTAATACTCACAGCAATAACAATCCGTGAGCTGTGCCCTCCAGACAATCTTGAGTGACAGAGGTCACCACGTGAGGATCCAGCAGCGGCGTGAGTGGCGCTCAGCAGAGCGGAGCTGGGGGCATCGGAGTTGACCTGTGAATCCATTCAAAACAAGAGGAATCATATACCGACTGGATAATTGTATGCTGAAATATTTAAATAACACAGGCTCTTTCTCACCTAAGGGTTCTTCCTGCACTGTTCTTGCATCCACTCGCTGCCTAACTCCTAGTCATCCGCAGGTCTCAGCTCACTAGTCACCACCCAAGAGAAGTCTTCTGTGACTACCCAACAACAGAAAGCAGGTTTCCCATTGTTGGCTATCACGCTGGTGTTGTGACTGGCTGTCGAGTTGGCCCCAACTCATGGTGACCCCAAACACAATGGAACGAAATGCTGCCCGGTCCTGCACCATCCCCATGATAGGTTGCAGGTCGGACCTTTGTGAGCCATGGGATTTTTCTTTTTTTAAATCTTTACTATTATTATTATTATTGTGGTGGTAAAAATATGCACAGCTAAACATACACCAAGTCAACAGTTTCTACATGTATAATTCGGTGTCATTGATGACATTCTTCAAGTTGTGTGACCATTCTCGATATCCTTTTCCAAATTACTCCACCACCATTAACATAAACTCACTGCCCAATAGGGTTTTCAATGGCTGAATTTTGGAAGTAGATTGCCAGGTCTTTCTTCCTACTCTTAGTCTGGAAGCTCCACTGAAACCTGTTCTTTGCCACAACACACAAGCCTCCACTGAGGCAGTTCAGTTCCTGGCCGGGAATTGAACCCAGGTCTCCCACATGGAAGGTGAGAATTCTACCCCTGAACCACCAATGCACATCTTTCTATCCTTGATAGCACTTACCACTATTTACAATTACAAAATTTATTTGTTCATTTCTTTATTTGATAGCTATCCTCCCACCAGGCTCCAAAGATCATGAGGACAGGGACCATAAAACTCTCAAGATATATTTTCTGAACAGACCTGGGGTTGCAAACTCCTGCCCAGGAGACAAATAAGTCCTGCCACCTGCTTTTTGTGCCATCGGCGAGCTAAGCATGCTTTTTACATTTTTAAATAGTTGAGGGGAAAAGAACAGTATTTCGTGACATACTAGAAGTATATGAAATTCACATTTCAGTGTGCCTAAATAACGCTTTACTGGAACACAGCCATGCCCATTGGCTTACATATTCTCCCCGTCTGCTTCCACGTTACAACGGCGGAGTTGAGAAGTTGCAACAGAGACTGTATGGTCCACAAAATAAAACATTTACTATCGGGCCCTTTATAGAAAAAGTCTGCAGACCCGTGGTATAGAGCAGCACTCCACATGAATTAAAAAAAACGAGCTCAGGAGAAAGCTAAAAAATGGCTTTGGAACGATTGTTGTTTGTGGAGTGCCATCAAGTCCATTCCGACTCACAGAGACCCCATGTGACAGAGTAGAACGGCCCCAAAAGGTTTTCTAGGCCGTAATGTTTATGGGAGTAGATTGCCAGGTCTTTTCTCCCTCAGAGCTGCTGGTGGGTTCAAACGGCCAACCTTTTGGTTAGCAGTCGAGAGCTTAACCGTTGTGCCACCAGGGCTCCTTGAACCTACTGAATACATATCATATATATATACATGTGTTTTAATTGTTGACATTTAGACAAAAACCAGCATACGTCTTGAAACAATCCACTAATGTATCACTCTATTGTTTATGCCTTAAAAATATGAAGTATCATTCCTCTTGGTAGATAATATTCGCAAGAGAACATCAAGTTAGAGAACAACCATTATTCTAGAGATGTTGGTACATGCAGATCTCGCTTGATGGATGTTAAGCTTCCAGTAATCACTTCTTGGGTTCAATCAGTGTCCCAGAAATGTGATTTTTTTTCCCCCTGAGATGGCGTTTGGAACTGTCGTTAATCTTCCCGAGTAGCTTTTTGTGGTAAGTTCTTGTTGGAATGGAAGGTGGTGATGTCAGCTTGACCTTTAACCTCCCACTGCAGGGGAATCAGAACAGCAGGTCTGAGGGCTGGGTCATCCCTCGGCCCACCAGCCATGACATGTGGCAAGACCGCATAGATGTGGCCTTGAACCAGCGGGAAGCTCCCCTTGCAAGGTATGGAAAACCCATATCATCCTTTCCCCTTCTCTTGCTCACATCTTTCATTTACAGAAAATAAGTTTTAGAATCTCAGCAAGATGTCAGGCTTAGGCCCGTACCTGATCCTTTATGTAGACACCCTCAGTAAGTCACGAAGAAGAAACCTGTCTAGAGGGATTAAGGCACGACGGCCATCACCGCGGTGTCACGGCTAAGAGCCTATATGTACACAATGAAAATAGCACAAAGGAAAATCCCAAAGCCCATTCGCACAAGACCTTGTTTTTTCAAAACAGCATTCGAGTGGTTCTCACTCAGGAGCGGTTTAGCCCTGGAGGGGACATGCGGCAGTGTCTGGAGACATTTTTGGTTGCCAAAACGGGGAGAGAGGTTATTGTTGTCATGTGCCATCCAGTCAATTCTGATGTGTGACAGAGTAGAACTGCCTCCGTAGGGTCTTCTAAGCTCTAATCCCTGGTGGCACAATGGTTAAGTGCTCAGCTGCTAACAGAAAGGTCCATGGTTCAAACCCACCAGCCTCTCTGAGGGAGAAAAATGTGGCAGTCTGCTTCCATAAAGATGATAGTCTTGGAAACCCTACGGAGCAGTTCTACTCTGTCCTGTAGGATCATTATGAGTTGGAATCAACTCGACAGCAACAGGTTTGGTTTGGTTTGATAAATCTTTACATAAGCAGATGGCCAGGTCTTTTCTCCCGCAGATTGTTGGGTGGCCTCGAACCTCAGACCTTTCAGTTAACAGCCAAGCACTTAACCATTGCACCGCCAAGCCAAAAAAGAAAAAAGAAAACCAAGCCCATTGCTGTGAAGTGGATTCCAACTCATAGCGACCATACAGGACAGAGTAGAACTGCCCCATAGGGTTTCCAAGGAGCACCTGGTGGATTCGAACTGCCAACCTTTTGGTTAGCAGCCAAACTCTTAACCCATGTGCCACCAGGGCTCCAACTGCACCACCAGGGCTCCTTAATTCTAATATAGGAGATGAAAAAATAGCAAAGGGATTCCAGAGTTGTCAACGTGGCTGCATACGGATTGGAAGATGCAATCGTCCTTCGCAGAACTTTGTACAACAGAAAACCAAAACCAAACTCGTTGTCATCGAGCCTACTGCGACTGATAGCGACCTTATAGGGCAGAGCAGAACTGCCCCATAGAGTTTTCAAGGAGCACCAGGTGGATTCAAACTGCTGACCTTTTGGTTAGCAGCTGAGCTTTTAACCACTGCGCCACCAGGACTCCATGTAAATCACAGCCAGTCACTTATCCTTGAGAGAGAAAGAATTAGTATTTTCTAGTCAAATTAAAAAAAAAAAAAAAACCTGTTGCCATCAAGTCAGTTCCAACTCACAGCAGTGTTATAGGTGAATATAATAACATCCACGACTGCTATATCATCTGAATGTCTCAAAACTTTGAGGGTGTCCTGTGACATATGGTAAATGCACATATTCTCTTTCTCAAATATGCACAATCGTGAATTTCAAGGTACATCTGGTGCCCAGGACTTCAGATAAGAAAACTGGGGATGCGTATCAATACTCAACAAGTGTTAAAAGCTTGTGGTCCCCAGGATAATGGAAATAGTGTGAACCTAATCAAGCGACGGTCTAGGTACCACTCCTTACGTGAAGAACATCCAGAATTACCAGACGAAAGCAGATAGCCCTCCTCCTAAGATACAGGAGCTCTTTCTTGTAGAAGCTTTTTTTTTTTTTTTTTTTTAATTGCCAATGTACAAGAAAAAGCACTCAACTAGGTCTTTGTTTCTGGTTCCTAAAAGATACCCGTTACCCCCTGCCCGTTGCCGTCGAGTCGATTCCGATTCATAGTGACCCGTAGGACATAGTAGAACTGCCCCATAGGGTTTCCAAGGCTGGGATCTTTACGGAAGCAGGCTGCCTTGGAGGCGCTGGGGGGTTCGTACCGCCAATCTTTCTGTTAGCAGCTGAGCACTTAACACTGCGCCACCAGGACTCCACTGCACCATCTGGTGAGGTTCTCATGTATCGTCGCCATTTATGTTGTTGAAAAAAGGTATTTGCAATGAATAGGTTGTTGGTCTTGCAAAATTCTATCATGCAATCTGCCCGTCCTTCTATCACCAAGGCCGTATTTTCCAACTACTGATCCTTCTTCCTTGTTCCCAACTTTCGCATTCCAATCACCAGTAATTATCAATACATCTCGATTGCATGTTGGATCAACTGCAGACTGCAGAAGTTGGTAAAAATCTTCACTTTATTCGTCTTTGACATTAGTGGTTGGTGCGTAAATCGGAATCATAGACCAGTATTAACTGGTCTTTCTTGTAGGCATACGGATATTAGCCTATCACGGACAGTGCTGTACTTCAGGATAGATCTTGAAATGTTCTTTTTGCCAATGAATGTGACGCCATTCCTCTTCACTGTACAATACACCTCTGACTCTCTCTCTCCCCGTGGGCTGTACCTGAGCGGGTTCAGGTATACCGACCCAAGACCAAGGCCTCCATTTGCTCAAACCAACATGTGATGAGATGGCAGGAAAAGGTAATGCTCACATTACTTGTTAAAGGATCCGTAAAGATCATTCTTCGTGTAATAATAATTCCGCCTCTACAAATGGTGCGGTAGCTTATTAACCCACTCCTGTACATACGAATAGCTAAGTGATCTGCCCACTAAGACTCTGCATCCATGTCCATTTCTCCTACCTGCATCGATGGAAGCCAGGTGAGCTACAGGCACACACGCGCGCGCGCGCACACACACACACACACACACACACTCCCCAAAGATACCACTTGCCATCGAGTCGACTCCGACTCATGCCGACCCATGTGTGTCACAATAGAACTGTGCCCCACAGGGTTTTCAAAGGCTGATTTTTTTTTTCATAAGCAGATCGACAGACCTTTCTTCCAAGGCACTTCTAGGTGGGTTTGAACCACCAACCTTTCAGGTGAGTAGCTGAGCAT